ACCTATTAAGGTTACCTCTGCTGTACCCCCCCTGTTTTCCGTAACCAGTACCCATTTAAACATCTGGGTGGAGGGAGGCACTGTGAGAGTAAAGTGTCTCACCCAAGAACACAACGCATTGTCCCCAGTCAGGGCTGGAATCCGGACAGCTCGATCCGGAGACGAGCGCACTTAACATGAGGCCGGCCATCGCTCCTCCCTCAATTTTTTAAAAAGGTGTACTATATTTCGGCTCAAACCAGCCTTCTTCAGGTGCAATGAGAATTTTACATTGGAAGGGGTGTTTATGCAGTATATTTGTGTAACAGCGGAAAGACGTAAAACTAAACTGATTGACAGCGTAAATTTTAAAAAGATAAGGTAAAGTAAAATAATGGAATAATATATTAACAGGAAATTACAAATATGTTACTTCACGGATGTTAAGACCACCAGGATCAAGTGTTCTGCCTTTTGAATTAACAAAAATTCCCTGGCTTTACGGGTTGAGTCTCGGTTTGTGGGCCGTTCTCAACATGAAGTAAATAGTTAGTTCTCTCTACAAACTATGGTAAACTAAATTTATTAGCATGGATCATTTTGCTTTTGGTCAAAAATGCCCCGCACCAACATCCAATATTTGGCATTGCGTGGAGAAGGGAATACATGAATGTCGACGGTCCTTAAAAATAGCCGGTGTGACCTGGCACCTGCAATACTGAGACAGATAAGGTAGCAGTTTTCTTCAATCCGCAATGGCTTTTATGGTCTTGAACCCTCGCTGAAATAAGTTGACCATCGGCAATGAAGCCAAGGAAATGTCCGGTGCTTTTAGGCTCTAATGCATTGCACTGTCAAATTGTTCGGTGCACGTTTCAAGGAAAAATTACATCACTGGCAAATCCGTGCCCGGGGGGACTCCCTTATACGGGCTACATAGGTATGTACTACCCAAAGGGTATGGTTTTTCAGCCGTTTTGGTCATAAATAGGGTATCGATTTTGACCATTATGGTCATAAATAGGGTAGGGTTTTTGCACTCAAGTCTTGAATTGAGTATGTTTTTTAGAAAAAGTTACTTTTTCATCATTATCAATGAGACTAGGGCTTGCCACAAGTTGGCAACTTTTCGTATTTCGAGCAACTTTTTTTTGTTT